GGGGGGCGGCCGGAGGCTTTTTCTCCTGGGGCGGCGAAAAAGCCAGAGCCGGCCCTGGGTAACGTGTAGGGGAAAAGCTGCGTGGGGGGCAGGGAGGCTTGACCCTCAGTGACACATGCTGGGGGTCTCATGGTGCCCGGACTAAAACATCCTTGGAATGACTAAATATTCTAGATGACAATTTCCTAACTCAAAACGTGCTGTATCCACCACGGGGAAATTCCATGTTAGACCTTGTTGTGACAGAGACTGATAACAGAATTAAAAATTGGTGACATTTTAGGTAGAAGTGATCATGACTTGATTGCACTTGTTACATGTGTCATGGAGTCCCCGGGCGATGCTCTGGAACTGCTCCACACAAAGCCAGTCAGGACTTTGGGGAGCCTCCTCTCCCTCGGAGCAGACTGTCTTCAGGGCAAGACGCTCACACGGCTTCACCTCCTGGGTCTGACCTTGGAGCATTCAGCATATGCCCCTCCGTGTGCTTCCCACAGCGAGTCCACCCAGGTGGGGTCCTGGGGAAGCCACAGGGTCCTGCACCCCAACTTCGCAGTCAGACGTGACTCTTAGCCAGCCAGTAAAAACAGAGGTTTATTAGATGACAGGAACATGGTCTAAAACAGGGCTTGTAGGTACAGAGAACAGGACCCCTCAGCCGGGTCCATTCTGGGGTCCCGCGAGCCAGACACCCCCGTCTGCCCTCACTTCCCGTCCCCAGCCAGCTCCCAACTGAAACCCTCTCCAGCCCCTCCTCCTCTGGGCTTTGTCCCTTTCCCGGGCCAGGAGGTCACCTGACCTCTTTGTTCTCCCACACCTTTAGCATCCCCTTGCAGGGGGGAAGGGCCTGGCCATTAGTTGCCAGGCGACAGAGGGTCGGCCAGAAACTGAGGCACCCACACAGTATTCAGAGGAAACATTAAGAACAGTCCCGCTTCGTCACAATGTGCAAACAGAATAAAGTCCAAACCAGTCACATATCTACTTGGTGCTTTAAAAGGGCCCATTACAGAAAGCTGAAAACAAATGGGAGCCAAATCAACTGGGAGATTTAAACAGCAAAATGTAAATAATCATTGGGAATTGTTTAAGAACGTGGCCTCTCCAGGTCCCTTCCAGCCCTGTGTTTCTGTGATTCTCTGATTTTACTAGATGCCCAAAAAGCCACAATCCAGAAAGTTGGCTACAGTGGTTAAAAAAACAACCTGGCTTAGAGGGGAAGTGAAAGTAGCTATAAAATTATATCTATAAGCTAGGATTGCATCGGAAGAAGAGAGGTTTTTTACCCACAAAAGCTTATGCCCAAATAAATCTGTTAGTCTTTAAGGTGCCACCAGACTCCTTGTTGTTTTTATATATAAGCTAGGATTTTCAGAACATTGATAAGGGAAGCAACAAGACAAAAGGAAAAATCTATGGCCAGCAGAATTAAGGACAATAAGAAGGAGGTTTTTTAAAGTATATTAGGAACAAAAGGAAGCCTAACAATGCTATTGCTCCATTATTAGATAGAAGTGATAGAATAGTCAGTAATAATGCAGATGAGGCAGAAGTGTTCAATAAATATTTCTGTTCTGTATTTGGGAAAATAACCTATGATGTAGTCATATCATATGATAATGACACTCTTTCTATTGCACTAGTATCTCAGGAGGATGTGAAACAGCAGCTACTAAAGCCAGACATTTTAAAATCAGCAGGTCCAGATAATTTTCATTCAAGAGTTTTAAAAGAGCTGGCTGAGGAGCTCGCTGGACCGCTAATGTTGATTTTCAATAACTGTTGGAACACTGGGAAGTTCCAAAGGACTGGCAGAAAGCTAACATTGTGCCATTATTGTAAAAGGGTCAGTGGGATGACCCAGGTAATTATAGACCTGTCAGCCTGACTTTGATCCTGGACAACATAATAGAATGGCTGGTATGGGGCACAGATTCTAAGGCCAGAAGGGACCACTGTGATCCTGTAGTCTGATCTCCTGTATAGCATAGGCCATAAGACTGCCCTGAAGTAATTCCGGTTTGAACTAGAGCAGAGCTTTTAGAAAACATTCAATCTTGATTTAAACATTTCCAGTGATGGAGAATCCACCAGAGCTCTTGGTAAGTTGTTCCAATAATTAATTATCCTGAAATGTGGTTGATAAAGGTAATAGTGTTGATGTAATGTACTTAGACTTCTGTATGGCACTTGACTTGGTACTGCACAAGATTTTGAATAAGAAACTAGAACAATATAAATTCAACATGGCCTATATTCAGTGGATTAAAGACTGCCTCACCGTTAAGTCTCAAACAGTAACTGTAAGCGAGGAATCATCACTGAGCATGTGTGTTTCTAGTGGGGCCCTGCAGGAACTGGTTCCTGGCCCTACACAATTTAACTTTTATCAGTGACCTGGAAGAAAACAAAATTATAAAATTTGCAGATGACACAAAAAATTGGGGGCAGGTACATCATAGAGTCCTAGAACTGGAAGGGACCTCGAGAGGTCGTCTAGTCCAGTGCCCTGCACTCGTGACAGGACTAAGTATTATCTACACCAGACCTGACAGATGTTTGTCCAACCTGCTCTTAAAAACCTCCAATGATGGAGATTCCACAACCTCCCTAGGCAATTTATTCCAGAGCTTAACCACCCTGACAGTTAGGAAGTTTTTTCCTAATGTCCAACCTAAACCTCCCTTGCTGCAATTTAAGCCCATTGCTTCTTGTCCTATCCTCAGAGATTAAGAAAAACAATTTTTCTTCCTCCTCCTTGTAACAACCTTTTACATACTTGAAAACTGTTATCATGTCCCCTCACAGTCTCTCTTTTCCAGACTAAACAAACCCAATTTTTTCCATCTTCCCTCATAGGTCATGTTTTCTAGACTTTTAATCATTTTTGTTGCTCTCCCTGGACTCTCTCCAATTTGTCCACATCCTTCCTGAAAAGTGGCGCCCAGAACTGGACACAATACTCCAGTTGAGGCCTAATCAGTGCAGGGTAGAGTGGAAGAATTACTTCTTGTGTCTTGCTTACAACATTCCTACTAATACAGCCCAGAATAACGTTCGCTTTTTTTTCAACAGCATTACACTGTTGACTCATATTGAGTTTGTGATCCACTATGATCCCCACATCCCTTTCTGCAGTGCTCCTTCCTAGGCAGTCATTGCCCATTTTGTATGTGTGTAACTGATTGTTCCTTCCTAAATACTGTACTTTGCATTTGTCCTTATTGAATTTCATCCTATTGACTTCAGACCATTTCTCCAGTTTGTCCAGAACATTTTGAATTTTAATCCTATCCTCCAAAGCACTTGCAACCCCTCCCAGCTTGGTATCATCCGCAAACTTTATAAGTGTAATCTCTATGTCATTATCTAAATCATTGATGAAGATATTGAACAGAACCGGACCCAGAACTGATCCCTGTGGGACCCCACTCATTATATCCTTCCAGCATGACTTCCAGCATTATGTCCTTCCAGCATGTCCTTCCACTGATAACTAGTCTCTGGGAACGGTTTTCCAACCACTTTTGCGCCCACCTTATAGTGGCTCCATCTAGGTTGCATTTCCCTAGTTTATTTATGAGAAGGTCATGCGAGACAGTATCAAAAGCTTTACTAAAGTCAAGATATACCACGTCTACCACTTCCACCCTATCCACAAGGCTTGTTACCCTGTTAGAGAAACTGTCAGGTTGGTTTGACATGATTTGTTCTTGACAAATCCATGCTGACTGTTACTTATCACCTTATTATCTTCTAGACGTTTGCAAATTGTTTGCTTAATGATTTGCTCCATTATCTTTCCAGGTACAGAAGTTAACCTGACTGGTCTGTAATTCCCCGGGTTGTCCTTATTTCCCTTTTTATAGATGGGCACTAATTTGCCCTTTTCCAGTCTTCTGGAATCTAATTTGTCCAAGTAATTTTTAACTTGTTCTTTCCCTATTTTAGCCTCTTCTGATCCTACCTCATTTGCACTGGCATTCACTACGTTAGACGTCCAATCACCACCAACCTTCTTGGTGAAAATGGAAACAAAGAAGTCATTAAGCACCTCTGCCATTTCCACTTTTCCTGTTATTGTCTTTCCTCCCTCATTGAGTAACGGGCCTACCCCGTCCTTGGTCTTCCTCTTGCTTCTATTGTATTTGTAGAATGTTTTCTTGTTACCCTTTATGTCTCTAGCTAATTTGATCTCGTTTTGTGCCTTGGCCTTTCTAATTTTGTCCCTACATACTTGTGTTATTTGTTTATATTCATCCTTTGTAATTTGACCTAGTTTCCACTTTTTGTAGGACTCTTTTTTGATTTTTAGATCGCTGAAGATCTCCTGGTTAAGCCAGGCTGGTCTCTTACCATACTTCCTATCTTTCCTACGCAGTGGGCTAGTTTGCTCTTGTGCCCTTAATAATGTCTCTTTGAAAAACTGCCAACTCTCTTCTATTGTTTTTCCCCCTAGACTTGCTTCCCATGGGATCTTACCTACCAACTTACTGAGTTTGTTAAAGTCTGCCGTCTTGAAATCCATTGTCTTTATTTTGCTGATTGCCCTCCTATCATTCCATAGAATCATGAACTCTATCATTTCATGATCACTTTCACCCAAGCTGCCTTCCACTTTTGAATAATGCAGAGGATATGTCACTGATGGAGAGCGATTTGGATCGTTTGGTACACTGGGCTCAGGCAAACAACGTATAAATGTGTTGGGCATACGTACAACGGCAGGACTCTACCCTGGGAAGCAGGGACTCTGAGAAGAACTGGGGGGTCTTGATGGGTAATCACCTGAACATGAACTCCCAGTGTGACGCGGTGGCCAAAAGGGCTAATGCGATCCTGGGATGCATAAACGAGAATCTCAAGTAAGAGCAGAGAGGTTATTTTATCTCTGTATTTGGCACTGGTGCAGCCGGTGCTGTAACCCTGCCCCCAGTTCTGGTGTTCACAGTTCAAGGAGGATGTTGATAAATGGGAGAGAGTTCAGAGAAAAGCCACAAGAATTAATAAAGGGTTGGAAAATCATCCTTGTAGTCACAGACTCAAGGAGCTCAGTTTACTTAGCTTAACAAGGAGAAGTCATGGGATGACATGATCAGTCTGTAAGTACCTACGTGGGGAACAGAAGTTTGATACTGGGCACTTCAACTAACAGACAAAGGCACAGCATGATCCAGTGGCTGGAAATTGAAGTTAGACAAATTGAGATGAGAAATAAGGTGCAAGTTTTTAGCCGTGAGGGTAATTAACTATTGGAACCATTTACCACAAGTTGTGGTGGATTCTCCATCACTGGCAAGTTTTAAATCAAGATTGGATGTTTTTCTAACAGATCTGCCCTGGTTCAACCAGGAATTAATTCAGGGGAGACCGATGGCGTGTGTGACATGGGGGCAGAGCAGATGATCACAGTGGCCCCTTCTGCCTTATAACCTATCAATTGCATAAAGGATTCAACTTCATTTCCAGTCCCAAACTCTGGGGTCCGGTGGTGGGCTGCTGCAAGGACTCGACAGAATTTGTAGATCAATTACATACATCTCTTCTGAGCCCATCCTGTCTCCCTGCCCAGAGCCGCCCGTGAGGATCGTCAGCTCTAACGAGGACGCCGCGCACACCTACCTGGCCTTGGAGCGCGTGGTGCTGGCGTGCGAGCTGTCCCATGCCAACGGCCCGGTGCAGTGGTACAAGGACGGGGTGGAGGTGGAGGAGGGCGAGCACCTGCTCCTGGAGTGCGAGGGGCCCCATCACAGGCTCGTCATCCCCTCGGCCCGGCCGCAGGACACGGGGGAGTTTGTGTGCGACGCGGGCGGCGACTCTGTCTTCTACAACATCACAGTGACAGGTCGGTGACACCTCTGCTCCCTGGCGGGTGGGTCATCAGCGCCCCCCCCGTTACCCCAGCTAGCAGGTCAGTGACACCCCTGGTCCCTGGCGGGTGGGTCATCAGCGCCCCCCCGTTACCCCAGCTGGCA